CCAATTGAGCTTGATGTCTCCTGCGACTGTGGTTCCGAGCCCACAGGTTCAACTATTAGGCCCCTCTGGGTAGTAGCTGTGACCAAGAAGTGACTACAACCTTGTCCCTTCTCAGCTCTACTATACACCTGGGAATTCTTGCAGAACATACAAATACACTTGTAGAACCATTGTCTGCTAACCCTATACACGGTCTTGGGTACACTCCCCACTGCATAGACATACCTAATAGTTCAGCCTGTCCACCCATATCCACCCATATACCCATGTTTGCCTTCACTAACAATGCAGTGCTCTTTTGTATGTGCAGAAGGGTTCATCTTTGTTGTCTGCACCTCCCATGTACCTCTCTATGTCTGCCTCTTCCTCAATGCCACCATGTTGATCACTCACATTTGGTACATTGACCTTCTCTTCATCCAAACCAATACTTGTCCCTACCTATCTAACAGTGTTCCCTCCCCTTCCCTCCCACCACTGGAAACCAACAAAGAAAATTTCCTTCCATAAATAAACTTTTCCTTGACTTTTACAATAATGGACTAATACAATATTTGTCCTTCTATGATTGACTTATTTCACTCAGCATAATGTCCACCAATTCATCCACATTATGCAGTGTTTTGCAGATTCTGTTATTCTTTAGGGTTGCATAGTATTCCACTGTGTGTATGTACCATAGTTTGTTTATCCATTCCTCAGTTGATGGACACCTAGGTTGTTTCCATCTTTTGGCTATTGTAAATAGTACTGTCATGAACATGGGTGTGCATATGTCTGTTCTTGTCATGGCTCTTACTTCTTTAGGATATATACCTAGTAATGGAATGGCTGAGTCAAATGGTATTTCTATTTCCAACTTTTTAAGGAATCGCCATACTGCTTTCCAGAGTGGTTGTACCATTTTACAGTCCCACCAGCAGTGTATGAGGGTCCCAATCTCTCCACATCCTCACCAACATTTGTTATTTTCTGTCTTGTTAAACTTTGCTACTAGTGCTGGGGCAAGATGGTATCTCATTGTTATTTTGATTTGTATTTCTCTAATGGCTAATGATCCTGAGCATTTCTTCATAGGTTTGTTGGCACCTGAATAGTCTCCTTGGTGAAGTGTTTAGTCATGTCTTCTGCCCATTTTTTAATTGTATCATTTGTCTTTTTGTTATTGAGTGTTGGAGTTTTCTATAAATTGTATAAATTTTCTATAAATTCTACATATGTCATTGCCAAATATTTTTCCCAATCTGTAGGTTCTCTTTTGAGTCTTTTGGCGAAGTCTTTGGAAGCATGAAAATTTAATTTTTAGAAGGTCCCAATCATCTAGTTTTTCTTCTGCTGTTTGTGCATATTGGGTTATTATGCTTGATAATCTATTTATGCCATATATTAGGGCCCCTAAATTTGCCTCTAGTTTTTCCTTGAGGAACTTTATAGTTTTAGGTTTCACATTTAAGTCTTTGATCCATCTGGAGTTAGTTTTTATGTGTGGTGTGAGGTACAGATCTTGTTTCATTATTCTGCAAATGGATATCCAGTTTTGCTAGCACCATTTATTAAACAATGTTGTTTGATTTCTTGACTGCTGCTTCTATAAAACAATAAACCAAACTCACTGCCGTCAAGTTGATTCAACTCATAGCGATCCCTCCTTGGGTTTCCGAGGCTGTATCCCTATGGAAATAGATTGCCCAGTCTTCTGAGGAGTGGCTGGTGGGTTTCAACCACCAGCCTTCTGGTTAGCAGTCAGATGCCTTAGGCACTCTGCCACTAGAGCGCCCATGAAATCCTTGAGAACTTCCATCTTTTCTGTTTATCATGATGTTATTGGTCCAATTGTGTGAATTTTTATGTTGAGGTATAATCCATATGGAAAGCTGTAGTCTTTAATATTCATCAGTAAGTGCTTCAAGGCCTCTTCACTTTCAGCAAGTAAAGCTGTGTCATCTGCATATTGCCAAGTTGTTAATGAATTCTCCTCTAATCCTGATGCCACAGTCTTCTTCACATAGCCATAGTCTTCGTGGCCCCCACCAGGCGACTAGGTGGAACTATGTAAATGTGTTGTGCTGTGGTCTGCCAAGGAGATTGTTAGCTTGTCAGTCATGTAAATAAGGTCTAGGAAACCTTGTGGGGGTGGAACCCTAATTGGTCAGTTTTGTCATTTCACTAGGCTTAAAATGAGCCCTCCCAGAGGCGGAAAGGGGGTCTCACTGCCATCAAGAGAGAAGAGCCAGCAGTGGAGTGGAGCACAGTGGAGTGCATCCTTGGACCCCAGCTCCCTGTGTTAGATCTCCTTGGCAGAGACTGGTAAAGAGATGTGGCAACAGAGGCAGTGTAGCTGAGATTGGCAGGAGACAGAGCTGTGGGATTTCTGGCCCACAGAGCAAGAAAGCTGAGCACCTTTAGGCAGGCAGCTTGCTGGTTGAGCTAAAAGCACTTTTTAACACTTGCCTGAGCAGGATGGAGACTATGGATCAAAGACAGGCATAGCCATGGGGAGGCTGTCTTTCACCACCCCTTCCCTGTGCCCTTAACTATGCACTCCTATCTGTCCAGCTTTCCCACCATGTAAATCTTTCTACTGCTGGGCTCAGAGCCAATCATTGGGAGTAAATCTAATCCTAGGCTTGAAGGCTATCCTGGGGCCATAGTCTTAGGGGTTCCACCAGACTCTATCTGACCACTAATACTGGTCATTTTTGTGTTTTTGAATTTTGTTCCACATTTTTCCTCCCACTCTATCCAGGATCTCCAGTTTTGATCCTTTTCTGAGTGGTTGGCATTGGTAGCCAGGCACCATCTGGTCTTGAAGTCCATCATATCCTTGGACTGTTTCCAAATGGCTTTTTCTTCACTCTTCTTTGCTCCAGATGAGAGACCAATAGTTGCATCTTAGATGGCTGCTCGAAAGCTTTTTAAGACCCCAGTCGCTATTCACCAAAATAGGTTGTGCAACACGATTTTTATGTACTGTGGCCCACAGAGCATGTGAATCATATGCAAAAGCAGCTGTCTGATACTGAGGTTGAAATACAGAAACTGTGTGTTAGCACCACCAGCAAACACAGGACCCTTTCCCTCAGGGCTGCACCCGTCTTGACCAGAACATAGACCTGAATGCTGCACGTGTCATCAGCAGGCCTGGTGATTCTCTCTCAAGGTGTTTGGTTGTCTCCGAGAGGTTACTCCAGCTCTGACTTCTGTAATGAGTATGGCTAATTTTGTATCACCAGCCACTCCTTGGAAGGAAGGTTGGGCAATCTACTTCTGTAGTGATACTGCCTTGGAAACCCAAGGAGGAGTTGCTATGAGTTGGGTCTGACTCGACAGCATGTAACATCCTCAGCTAAATCTATCCTTGGTGTAGGGTACATTGCTGTTCTCTGACCCCCCAACTGATCTTCTCAGTTGTCTATGCATTTATCTGCAGCCTGGTGTTTGGTGTTAGTGGTAATGCAGTATTGTGCATATACTATTGTGCGTATTTTGCCTCTGTTACCTATATCTTATGTGCACGTTTTAGTATTCTTCCTTTCCCCAATGTCATCATGCTGATCACAGACTCTTTCCATACTGTCTCTAAGGGGAGGCTATCTTGATGGAAGAATTGTATCCTGGGTGTTCCTGAACCTTAATTGTAACTTGTTACTTCCCTAATAAACCCCATGATTGTGAGTATTGTCTGTGAGTTGTGTGTGGCCATTGCACCGAATTATCAAACACAGTAGAGAAGTAGAGAGTGCCACGAGAGGGATGGTGGAATCAGAAGTGGTAAGAAAGTTGGGCTAATGGTGATTTTCTCTGCCCCTCATGAAGTCAGAGGAGGTCAGAGGACACTGGCCCTATACCCACTTTGCAAGAGCTAAAATGAAAAAGAACCATATCTACCAACAAGAGTACCAGGGGGAAACTCAAAGTTATTTTAAATGTGTAACATAAATATAGTATTAGTACACTCAAAATGAAAGGCTTATGAGAAACTCTAGAGAGACCAGTGACATACAAGCAATTAGTATACAGATCATTTTCTTAAAAGATAAATTTTAATATACAGAATAACCTGCAGGAAGATTTTATTATTTTCCATTTTGCCCAAAATTTGTAGGTATGAATGCTTCTGAATCTGACCAGGAAAGTTTATATTTTGACCTAATACATTATCAGATTGTCTGATCAAGTCCAGCTTGATATCATAGAAATTTATAGAATTTACACTGAAAATCTGTTGGTTTTGTAGGTGGTGGATTTCCGATTTCTTCGTAGCTAGGAGTTTACTCAACTTTAGCCTCAGAACCAGAATTAAAATAAGAGATCTTCTTTTAAACAGCTGGTCATCATTTTAGGCTTAATCTAGCCAAATTATTTAATACTTTATTGAAGGTCATACAAAAACTCCACAATAAATAATGAAAAGAGTACATAAAATCATCAGCCTCTGTTTGCAATACAGAAAATACATGTCAGTTCTGGCCCAAGTCAATTCCACTGAAATACAAAACGTGATAGTAAGAATGAGAAGATCTGCAGTGACTGTTTTGGTGGTTAGCTACAACACCATCAGTTATTTTGGAAAGTGAAGGTGGGTTTTAATTTGCAGGTAAAGAATGTCTTTGGTAATTTAAAAAAATATAAACTCTAAAAAAGCTTGTGAATCATATACAAAAGCAGCTGTTTGATACCAAGGTTGAAATACAGAAATTGTGTGTTAGCACCACCAGCAAACACAGGGCCCTTTTCCCTCAGGGCTGCACCCCTGTCTTGACCAGAACACAGACCTGAATGCTGCACGTGTCATTTACAGTTAGAAAACCTGGCCTTGAGTACAGGGCTCCTGTGGGGTGAAGTTTTAAGCCCTAAGAGGCACCAAGCGGTTACAAAGGCTAGGCCACCATCAGGGTCACAAGTTCCGACGATATAATAAATCCCGCGTTGCCTTATCAACTTTTTGCTGGTAGTCCTCCAATTTGTCAAGTATCTTCTGAGACAACTGTAAGAGAAAGGAGGGAAATCATCACAGGATAGCTCAAGGACTGAATATGAATAAGATCGATGTTATTAACCATTTTGAGTTCACTAGACTTCACCTGAGAAAGATGTTAGCCACCATGCTTCATTTAATCACCATTAAGTAGAGTCTGAAGGAGCACTGGTGGCTGCTAACCGAGATGTTGGTGGTTCGAACCCACCCACTGCTCCAACGGAGAACTATGTGCAGTCTACCTCTGTAAAGATTTACAGCCTTGGAATCCCTGAGGTGTTTTACTTGCCCTACAGGGTCGCTATGAGTTAGAAGTGACTCAATGGTAATGGGTAAATGGGTAAGTAGAGACTGCTCTGTGACTCTGCAGGTAAAACAACTTCTGCTATAAACAAGACTCCAATCCTGCTTTCCTAATGAATTTCTAAGTACACAGATCTCATCAGTATTTTAAATAAAAGCATTACTAGCTCTCTTCCCAGAATCAGAGAGCCTGCATTTGATTTTCACTAAGCATTGGCTGCTAAGTGACATGCAGGGATGAACACTCAGACAGTGTGAATTACTTGTTAACACTTTACTTAACTTCGCCTGATACACCCAATCAGTAGGAACTAATTTTCATGGCTGTCTTCCTTTCTCCCTATTGCCTATCAGTTTGGAAGACAAATATGCAAAAGGGTAAGTCACTGACTAGAAGTGTATTCTCTAAGTTCTAATAGTAGACTCAGAAGACACTCCACCTAGATGTAACTGATAGACAAACAAGCCATCACTCAAATGAGTCTGAACAAGAGAAACACTATCCTTTTTTCCTTTTGAAGAAGTTCCTAATATACGAGTCCTGGAAAATGTGGTTGCATATGCTAAGTTCATTGAGGGTAATGGTAAGTTTTCATGCTGTATTTCAAGTACCAGTTCACCCTGTAGTGTCTGCCTTAGTAAACTGTAGACTGAAGAATGGACTACATGTCATTTGTCTGTGTATAATCGCTGCCCACACAGTTCCTCACTCACTTTGTTGAATGAATTGGCTAAGTTGCTTAAACTCTTTATTTATAAAGGGATTGGGGCAGCATGCGAAGGGCAATAAACAGTTTATCTCTCCCCTTACGTCCCTCAGAGTTGAAGACCAAGCTGTACCATGTAACTGCTGGTGCAAAGACTTATAGGAGACTTTGTACTAAAAGGGTTACTTACTGCGATGTTGTGACTATTGGCACTGTTCTCTCCCAGAGCTTGGAGAAGCTGATCAATAGAGGAGTAAGGGAGCCACACCATTGGGGCTGTTGCAGACAGTGGAAACTAAAAGGAAAAAGGACTGTTATTGGGAAAAAAAAAGAAATCTAAAAAGCATACCAATTACCCTGAGTAGTTGTTTTCTTGGTCTCAAATGCTTCACTTTCTTATTTTTTCACAGTAAGAACTGCATGTGTGTGTGTGCATGCACAGCTGGACTCCCGCCCGACTTTATAAGCCTGTCCTTTGCTCAGTTATAGCTGAATTTATTTTGAAATTATGCCACCTCCTTATCTTTTTAAGGGAGCACTGAGGTCTGTTAATGATAAACAGATGCAACAAAACTCCTCTGAGTTGGCAAAGAACGATACCATTTCTAGTCTGAAATTTAGATCCAAATTATAGGCAATCCCTGGGTTACGAATGAGATCCGTTCCTAAGTGTATTTTTAAGCCGAATTGGTAGATTGGTCGGAACAGTTGCATACAGTTCTTATTAAGCCTCACTTTAGTGCAAGAAAAGGCTTTTCAATTATTTAAAAGCTGAACATGCAGCAAGTGAAGGTGACTACGATGAAGAATTTGTTCTAAGTAAGTAGGTGGTTGGTTCAACTGTTTCACAGTTAAGGGCAGATTTACATAAACATGAAATGGATTGTGTGCTGAGACAGCTGCCTGCTTGGAGATGGTGGCTCTCCATGTGTGTGGCTTCCCACAATCCTAACAATAACCCAATCTCCTCATTGAGCTCCTGAAAGGGCTCACTTTGCCTCTCCAAGTCTCCCATTCCAGGGTTCTGACCCAAATTATTCTGTTCTGGTTACTGTGACAAATCACTCAAATTGTAAAAATTCACATCTGTTGCTGTTTCTGCTCTGGAACTCATGACAGAACTGGTTCAAATCAGTTTGAAGCCCTGCTTAACAGGCAGGCAGGAATTATCCATAAGTCAGATGTTCATAACCTGGGGACTGCCTGTATCTGGAAAAAGATATTTGGAAGAGGAAAAGCGCAGGTCTGAATACTTAAGGGGTTAAGAGGTAAGGTTTGTAGTTAGCTAGGTCTGGCTCTTCTACTTATCATCTCTGTGAGTTTTGGCAACTTACTTAACCTCTGGGCCTAACTTTCCTCATGAGTTTTTTTTTTTTTTTAAAAGGTCAAAAATCAGCTTTTGATAGGCTGCTATGAAGATTAACTGAGAAATCACTTGCACAGATTTAGCATAGCCTCTGGCATACAGAAAATGTTCAGTATATACCATTTTATTTACCACTGTCCTGCAAATATTGACTAAAGTCAAATCCATTTGGTAGAGGAAAGTGGAATGTATTCCCATTCCATAAACAGGAAATTGGAGACTCATAGAGTGCTGATACGCAGTCCCTGATCTTGGAGTCAAACTAGTTCTGTAACTACAAATACTGTTGTTATCATTGTTAGGTGCCATCAAGTCGGTTCTGACTCATAGTGACCCTATGGACAACAGAATCAAACACTACCCAGTTCCATGCCGTCCTTATAATTGTTGTCATGCTTGAGCCCATTCTTGCAGCCGTTGCATTAATTCATCTTACCGAGGAGCTTCTTTTTTGCTGACCCTCTAGTTTATCAAGCGTGATATCCTTAAGGGACTGGTCCCTTCTGACAACATGACCAAAGTACAAGAAACAAAGTCTGGCCATTCTCATTTCTAAGGAGCATTCTGTCTGTACTTCCTCCAAGACAGATTTGCTCATTCCTCTAGTAGTCCATGGTACATGTTATTCTTCACCAACACAATTCAAATCCATCAATTCTTCTGCTGTCTTCCTTATTCACTGTCCAGCTCTCATATGCATATAATGCTATTGAAAATACCATGGCTTGGGTCAGGCCCACCTAAGTCTTCAGAGTGACATCTTTGCTCTTTAACACTTTAATGAGGTCTTTTGCAGATGTGTCCAATGCAGTATGTCATTTAATTTCTTGACTGGGCAATGATTGTGGATCCAAGTAAAATGAAATCCCTGACTTCAATCTTTTCTCCATTTATCACAATTTTGATTATTGGTCCATTTGTGAGGAATTCTGTTTTATGTTGAGGTGTAATCCATACTGAAGGCTGTAGTCTTTGATCTTCATCAGTAAGTGCTTTAAGTCCTCTTCACTTTCAGCAAGCAAGGTTGTGTCATCTGCATATCTCAGGTTGTTAATGAGTCTTCCTCCAATCCTGAGGCTACATTCTTTTTCATATACTCCAGTTTCTTGGATTATATGCTCAGCTGAATAACTTAGGTGAAAAGATAAAACAACCCTGAGGCATATCTTTCCTGATTTTAAACCATGTAGTATCTATCCCTTTGTTCTGCTGGAGTCAAATGACAGTCTCTTGGCCTATGTACAGGTTTCTCATGATCACCAGTAAGTGTTCTGGAATTCCCATTCTTTGAAATGTTATCCATAATTTGTTATAAAACACACAGTTGAATGCCTTTGCATAATCAATAAAACACAGGTAAACATCTTTCTGGTATTCTTTGCTTTCAGCCAAGATCCATCTGACATCAACAATGATATCTCTCATTCCTTATCACCCTCCAAATCCAGCCTGAAATTTTCTGGCCGTTCTTGTCTATATACTGCTATAACTGTTTTTGAATTATCTCCAGCAAAATTTTACTTGAGATATTAATGCTATTCGTAATTTCCACATTCTGCTGGAACATCTTTCTTTGAGCACAAATATGTATTTTTCAATCAGTTGACTAGGCAGTTGTCTTCCAAATTTCTTGGCATAGATAAGGGAAAGTCTCCAGATTGCATCCATTTGTTGAAACATATCAATGGGTATTGCGCCAATTCCTGGAGGCTTGTTTTTCACCAATGCCTTCAGTGCAGCTTGGATTTCTTCCCTCAATACCACTGGTTCTTGATCATATGCTACTTCCTAAAATAGTTGAATATCGACCAGTTCTTTTTGGTAGTGTGACTTTGTGTATTCCTTTCATCTTCTTTTGCTGCATCCTGCTTTGTTCAATACAATAGAATCCTTCAATATTCCAACTTGAGGCTTGAATTTTTTTAGTTATTTCAGCTTGAGAAATCCAAGTGTGTTCTTCCGTTTTGATTTTCTACTCCAGATCTTTCAATATTTCATTTAATACGTTACCTTGTCTTCTAAAGCTTCAGAGTCTCTTCTGACATCCATTTTGGTATTTCTTCCTTTTCTGTCTTTTTAATGACCTTTTGCTTTCTTCATGTATAATGTCATTTATGTCATCTCATAATTTGTCTGATCTTTGGTTACTGGTGTTTGGTGCATCAAATCTGTTCTTCAGATGGTCTCCCAATTCAGAAGGGACACACTTAGGGTCGTATTTTGACTCTTGTGGACTTGCTTTAATTTTCTTCAGCTTCAGCTTAAACTTGCATAACAGGAATTGATGGTCTGTTCCATGGTCAGGCCCTGGCCTGGTTCAGACTGATAGTGAGATTCTCTATCATCTCTTTCCATAGAAACAGTATAGTACAGTATAAGTGAAATCCACTAATTTATAGTTCCAATTTACTTTCAGATCCTCACCTTATTTAATGTGATAGTACAGAATTAAAAAGAAATGTCTGTATTGCCTACCTCAATTCCAAAGTACTGGTGTCCTTTTCCCAATACAGCATCCACATATTCTGAAACCAAATCCACAGCTTCTTCTAAAAGGTCGTAATTCAAGTACAGACGGAGCAACTCAGCAGCATCAACTTTCTGTAAAAGTCAGGTGATTAAGAACATCTACCTATTTACATCTCACCTGGGCAATGGCCAAAGGATGTTGAGTGTCTGATCCCCTTGCATTTACATTTCTGATTGTCAGTCAGTAAGTAAGCACCTTAGTTTACTCATTTATATCTTGGGATAAGGTTGGATTCTAAGAGCCTGGGCACCTTTTAAGGCCCTATCCATTAAGTTGCCGTCTCCTCCTGTTTTGTGACCAAAGCAAATTTTAACTTCTGCTTCAGTTCCCATATGTAAAAGCCAACAAAACTCTCCAGCAATGGTACGAAAGACACAATGTAGTCACATTACTACTCAGGACAACTAGAAAAGAAGTTTACAAAATCATCGATTTTAAATGTCTGAAATTTTTATTTAATTCAGGGTTAGAGAAAAATGAATTAAGTCTCAGTATAAAAGGTTCTATTAAGTATGCTATTATGTTAATTATGCTTTCCATATTCTGATTTGATCACAATCTTACTTTTATCATCTTCTCTACTTTCTAACTTAAAAAAAAAAAATCAACTTTCCTATCTTTGAGCTCTGGGTGCCCTCTCCTTGTCCTAGCCATGCTTACCGCTGTAGCACCACATGCCTCTTTTCTAAAAGCTCCCTGTTGTTGTCAGGTGCCACGATTGGTTCTGACTCACAGCAACCCTATGTACAATAGAAGGAAACATTGCTTGGTCTCATGCCACCCTCACGATAGCAGGTATATCTGAGCCTCCTATTGCAGCCACTGCGTCAGTTCCCCTCACTGGGCGTTTTCCTCTTTTCCCCTGACCCTCTATTTTACCAAGCATGATGTCCTTCCAAGTCTTTAATAACTGTGTGCATCAGAATCATCTGTGAATATTTTTAATACACTTCTCCTTCAAATTGGAGTTCAGTAAGGTAGGGGTAGGTAGGGCTTAGACATCTGTATTTTCATAAGGTTCTCCAATGTGGATCAGATACAGTAGTCCTGAAACTTAGGTGTGCATCAAAATTAAATCAGGAATTTATTAAAATGTAAATTCCTGGTTCCTACCTCGCAGGTACAGCCCAGGAATCACCTTACTTAATGAACAATGAACTTACTTTCAAACAATCTCACCCCTGTAATAATTCTGATACAGGTGGCCCAAAACCCCTATTTTGACAAAAACTGATTTAAAGAAACACTGTTGTAGTATTTGAACTACTACTCCACCCACATCTGTGAATGTTTGTGAGTAATCATTCATACACCCATGTATCACAGGTCTACCCACTGTTTTAAATATAAACGTGTTCAGTGAGAACACATGTAGGCATTAACTTAATTACTAACCTACAGAACTTTAAATCCAAGTATTCATTAAATTGTTCCTCATGTTTTTAAGTAAGATCAAGAAGCTGCTAAAGTTTGTAAATCAGTATGTTCCCATAAAATATCACTCTATTTTTTCTTTTTAATCATGTCATGAAAATATTCAGAATGATAAAGACCAGCTTCATATTCTTTAAGTTAAAGTACCACATATCCCCTGAGACTATGGCCCCTAATTACCCTTCAGGTCTGGGACTAAATTCACTCCCATGGCTTCCAGCCAAACAACAGACAGGAATATGGGATGAACATATATAACAGGTAGGTACACTCGTTGCAGCCATCAATTGTAGGAGAACAGAAGGGCAGTATTTGCACAGGGAGATAGCTCAGGAGGCAGGAATGCAAAGGAAGGAACAACAGAGGAAAGAGGTTACTACAAGGAGGAAGTGGGAAGAGAGCTATTACACTGTGGGGAATTGTAGTCAATCTCATGAAATAAAACGTGGATGAACTGCTATGGAAAATGAATTTGCTCTGTCACCCAATAAAATTTAAATAAATAAATACAATAAAAATTAATTAAATAAATAAACAAACTACCACATACCTTGTAACTGTTTATAAGCCAATTAGGCAGAGGCACTCCATGAGACAAGAGCTTGTTGATTACACAGTGGTGATACAAGTTATTCTGAACTTTGTACCTTTCCAGGTAAGTTGATAATAGTCTCCATGCTTCATCAGTAGCACTGGATAAAAACAAAAAGGACTAATGAGTTTTAGATTCTTTATAGATATTTGCAGTACCATTCAAAGCACAAATTTACAAAGAAAAATTTTTAGAGGCTCACAATTGGAGTGATAACATAACTAAATCATAACTAACACTATCGAGGTCATTGTGACTTAAGGAAAGAGATAATTCCCAACTTACAGTATATTCCAGTTATTA